GTATTTAGATTATACAGCAATACCCCAACTATATGATGGTAATTAGATTATATAATCTAACTTAAGTGGGATATCACCATATAATATAACTATATTATATGGTGATATCCCACTATTTTTATAATGCCAATTTAAATTATTTGTTTTCTACTTTACATACTGGTCTACTATATATTGTTAAAACAATCTGCCTAAAAGATGCAGAATGCTATTATTTTTGTTATAGTTTCTAATCATAAACCTATAAGCTGCAAACTCCCTAATAGTTACAGTTTTTCTTTTTTTCTTTTTTGGTTTTGGTTGAATTTTTGATGGTCCCTCTATATCACTATCATCATTAGGGAGGTGTCAAATATCAGGTGATTTTTTAAAAGGGTGTCAAAAATTTTGAAATTACATATAAAGACCTGACAATTTTCATATATAAAAGTAGGGGGTAGGCCACTAATAAAAAAAAATCAGGTGATAAATGACACTGCTCTTATTGTCACATAGCTTTACTTTGCTACAATATTATAATCGATTTTGCTATATAACTTTACTTGCTTGGCTGATATGCGATGACTGGAGTATCGTAATAGATACTACCACTAGCAATATATTCATGCAGATACAATAATTTATTCACTATGAACGAAGCTTATTCATGAAGATTCAAAGCTAAAGCTAGGCATCTCCCTATTTGAATTGATGCCTTATATATTATTACTAATATATGTTTTATTACTATATTATTCATTCAATCACATATTAATTACTAATTGCTATTGATTGCTACATTGTTTATGCGATACTAATCGCTTCTAATACTACATTGTTCATGCAACACTATTTTTAGACATTTAATAGATCGGGATCATGCATATCCCCGATCACAGTATTCGATCACGTATCCGATCATTAATCACATGGGTACTGCTACAAGTTTATGGTGTATTAAGAAACACCGTGACATATGAGCTCAACCCCAAGTACTTCGTCCTCGAAGTTCAATTCACTTGCACAACACAACCACATCATCAAACCCAACATTATTAAGTCCATCTTCACGACCAAATTCAATGGTATTTCTATCTCAATATTAATCGTCTCTTTAGCATCATCTGTATCATCAAATTTTTGATAATTTATGAATGCCTTATGTTTATCCTTTTCAATTTCATTTTCATAACAAACTTCACCTTTGCGTATTTTATCAGCATGATTTATCTTTGCTGATTTTTGATAATGAACTAACGTCTTATGTTCATCCTTTTCAACACTAATTCCATTTTGGTAGCAGTTACCAAGTCCACATGTTTCATCGTTCATATCAACAGGTTTTTGGTTACTATTAAGTTCTTGATGCTGATCCGTTCTGATTCCATTTTTATTATCAGTTTCATCACTGCGACCCACCTTATCAGGTCTACCAGCAATATTCAGTTCTGCTAATTTTTGGTAATAAGCAAGTGCTTTGCTTTCTTCTCTTTTAATTCCGGCTTCACTTTCCTCTTTTTCATTTCTTGCTCCACTTTTGTGATCTTTTATTATAGCACTTCGACGATTATTATGCTCCTTTAAACCAAGTGGAGTTTTTATTTTTATTCTTTTACTTTTTTCCAACATAGTTAATTATACAGGAACAATTTGGATCTCTGGATCTTTCTTCTTCTGCTTCGGACAATCATGCGCCTTATGCCCTATATAATGACATTCATAACATAAACGTAGTCATTTATGTTTGCTTCGATAAGTATTATACTTTTGGTCTTCACATTGGCTTTTTACAGCCTTACTTGCTATCATATTAATGTTCTCAATGATCTCCTTTACAGGGTTCATTATTTCTGCCAACTATTTGTCTATACTAATCTTGATTCTACACGATTCATTGTCCAAAAGTACTTCACCTTTTACTTCAGTAGATTTATCTGAAATACTATCCAATGCTTTGAAGACCTTTTTTTTTCATATTCATCTTTTTTTATATAGACTTCAACTTTTAAAGTGCACTTCTTTACATCCTCGTACATTTTAGAGTAATCCTGATTTACTTTATTATGTATTTTTCACTCAGGTCTTTCAAGTATATACATTTTATTTTTGTTTCCTGGCAAACATATCCTTTTGCTACTAATGCTTGAGCTTCGAATCTATTTGTATAATATACAATTGATTCACCTTTGCCTTGTTTTATGCTCATCAACTTGATTAACTTTATGTCCCCATTATACAACGTTTTTATCTCCCTTTTCATATTGAACTTTAATTTATTCCAACTTTTGGTCGTCCATATTAGGTCTCTAACCCACGGCCTTAATTGTTCAGCAACATGCTGGCTCATCACAAGCTTCATACAAGAATCACTCCATCTCTTGGATGCTGAATATGCTCGAAATCAAACAAAAAATCCTCCACGTTTTCTTCACTATCACCAAAATAATATGGTACCTAAAGGTCAACAGCTTTCATGGTCTTTTCATATAAGTAACATTTCTTTAGTGTCTCTACTCTAAATTTCAACAAGAGAACCTTTGCTTGCCCAGGTCCTTTATGTCACATAGTTTCTTAACACTATGTGTACTCGAGATCTTTTACTATAAGTCTTTAACTTGCTTGGCTTTACTATGCAATAACTAGAGTATCATTCCAGATACTACTACCTCTAATGTATTCACACAGATACAATAATTTATTTACTAAGAATGAAGCTTATTCACGAAGCGAAAGCTTATTAATGAAAATTCAAAGCTAAAGCTAGGCATCTCTCCTATTTGGATCGATGCCTTATATATTATTATTATTACATATTTTATTATTACATTATTTATACAATTATATATTAATTACTAATTGCTATTGATTGCTACATTGTTCATACGATACTAATCACTTCTAATACTACATTGTTCATGCAACGCTAGTTTTAGACATTTAATTAGATTGGGATCATGCATATCCCCGATCACAATATTCGATCACGTACCCAATCATTAATCACATAATACTACTACAAGTACATGGAGCATTAAGAAACACCGCAACAATTATCACCATCATCATCATTACCATCATTACCATCATCACTATTATTATCTTTATCATTATCAGATAGTCTTTCTGATTCAGAGATTCCATCTTTATCAAATTCAACTTTTTTGCTTTTAAATACCAATTTTTTTTTATTACAAGATCGTAAAAATCATTATTATTATTATTATCTTCTGTCTAAGCTTAAACTTCTTCTGTTTCTTCTCTAGCTCTTTTTTTCTCTTCTTTTACAGAAGATCTACTTTCTAAATATTTTTTATTACTTGTATCAATATTTTCATTATCAAGACACATCATACTTGATGAACTTCTAATAGTTGCAGATTTTAAAATTCTTGATAATCCTGTTTGACTTTGTAATTCTCTTTCTAATAAAGTATCAAAATCAATATTAGAAGTACTACTTGCTTCAGCTTCAGCTTTAGAGATTTTAGAGGCTTCAGGGTGTTAAGCTATTTTTTTTTTAAGAGCTCTTTTTTCTTTTCTTCTCTTTCTTTTGCATAAGCCTTTATTTTTTGTTTAGTCTAGTATAAATAATCTGGTTCATTATAATCATTATTATCATCATCATCATTATCACTAACTGATTCAATTTTATCTCTTTTTAATATTCCTTTATACCAACCATATTCTCTATATAGAAATAGCAAAAAATATGCTAAAAAATCATATGCACAATGTAATTCAGATATTTTTTCTAATTCATTATCATGTCTTACAATAAGAATATCTCTTATATACATATTTTCATTAGAAAAACAAATTGCAGCTATTTCTTTAGCTAGTGTGCATTATATTGTCTCATATCTTTGCTATGCTTATTATATATTAAAATATAATACAAAGGATCTTTTAGATTCTTATTTCCTGCAGATATATAAGTATCTACAAAAGGATTTAAATCCATTAATACATTTTAGATAATACTTATCATATCTCTGTTTAATGATTGCTTCATTACATTATGTCTTCTATCAATTTGTGCTTCAATATCTGAAGAATTATAAAAATATATTTGAGAAAATTTTGGTATTCCTTCTTGTTCTGGCAAAGCTAAGCTAATTTGATGATAATAATCACTCTGAATTTAATAGCAATAAGCCCTCTTTTTTTCATTGGCAAAATCCAAATTTAAATCAGTAGCAATTGATGTAAAAGCAAATGCTTGATTATATGCTCTTATTTTGTTAACAAATGGTACTTTAGATATTGGATCTTTTTTTGTAAGCAAATAATAAATTTCTGGTGATGGTGCTTGAAGTGGTGCTAATATAACTTTGCCATTTATGCAACAGAGTCCTGGTTTTTTCCTTTCTATCTTAATGTCCCACAATGTTTATATTCAATGTCCATTTTTCCTATACTATGCCCCTATTGTTTTTTTTATCATCCTCATTATTATTATCATCATCATCATCATCTTCACTATCATCCCTATCATCATTTCCACTATCATCTCCATCATCATCTCTATTATCATATCTATCATCATTATTCCTACTATTATCTTTGACCTCCTTCTGATATTCATCTAAGCTACAATATCCTATTTTATAAAATTGTTCAAATTGTTCTTGTTTTTTCTTCTCATATCTTTCTTTATCTCTTTTTCTATTTTCTTTTTTCTTTTTTTGCTTTACTCAAAGAAGCTCTATATTCTCGTTGTCTATCTCTTTGACCTTCTTTTGTTTTTGCTCTTGAGTCTGATGATGCTTTAAAAGTTTGGAATCTTGTTCTTGTTGAAGGTTCTACAATACTTTGGTTTAATTTTTGATAATGCATATATTTAGTTTATCTTTTTCTTTTTAATCTATTAGACCTTTCTTTTGCAGATTTATCATCAGGTTTTTCAGGTTCTGGATATGTTTCTAAAATATATTTAGAAGTAGGTAATCTTTTTTTTTCATCTTTCTTTCTTTTTTTTTTTTTTTTCTTTTGGCATTTTCTATCTCAATAAATAAAAAAATTTATAATAAAATAATTAATTATTTGTATAATTTATAAATAAAACAAATTATTTATTAAATAAATAATATAAATTTTTAAAATTTTTGGTTTAATTGTAAATTTTTTACCTTCTTTTTAAATTTTATATGTTGGGTTAGGATTCCATAGCCTAGTAGTCTAGGCACCTAACTCTTCACAGACAAGGTCAACGGTTCAATTATAGCTAGTAGTAATTAATTTAATTAATTATCTCTGTAACCTACAGGAGCTTTCGAATACAAAACCCTGTAATGATAAGATCATGTGAAGTACATATTTGGCCTATAAAGAATTCTTGGAAGGAGTCCCGAGCCATAGAGAATACTGGGCACTACGTGTGACATGGCATTACAGAAAGTAATACCGCATAAGGCTGTATATGTAAATCCTCGATTGGCTAGATAGCACCAATAACCCTAAGGTGGTCTTGGGGATCTTGATTGGGAGAACAGCTAAATGCAGTATATCTGGAAGTGGTGAGAGAAGTGGCGAATACAGTAAGGGGCTGTGGTAAGAGAATAGCTTTACCAAATAAAGAAACACTTCTGGCATACAAGATTGGAAAATTGGAAAACTAATAAGAAAAACACTGCATATCAAAACATCGATGATAGATGCCATACTGATGTGCTATAAGTCAAGGTTCCAGGCCTTCTTGCATTACCAAGCTAGAAGTAAAACAATCATTAGTAATACACCTATATAACATAGTTATATTGGAAAGCTTCGACGCTCATACTATAGTCAATTATACCAACTATGGAAGCATTGTATAAAGTAGGTAGTACACTGCAGATAACAACTAGAGATTTGATAAATCTAGCCATACCGTATAGTATCAATACATGGAGGGCTATGTACACCAATATGGGAGCAAGAAGAGTGAAAAACCACCAGAATGAACCAATTTGGGAGAATTATAAGGTTGCTGCAGGAAGTAGATAGGGGAGTGTAATAAGTACGAAAATAGGTAACAATAGAAAATCTTGTAATATAGTACGTAATTGAGGACTAATTAAAAAGATTGAAATTGAGATACAAATTGTGTTACGGCCACACCCCAAAAGGTGGCGTGAGATACGAACACAATGGTGGTAGCCAATATGTACTAATTAGAAGGAAATTACGGAAATAATTACATGGTGGGACATGTAATGGTAGGTTGCTTCAACTGATCCTAGCTTGAAGTTGGCTTGAAATAGTTAATGAAAAAGTAATATAGGAAAATAAGGAGTATAATTCCACATTGGGTGACTAGTAATAGTAGCACAAATGTAATTAGAAACTGTATATCAATTGATCTGTAAAAAGGCGTTTATCATGACTAATAAAAGTTTCTATGTTTGGCAATATAAAAAAAAAAAAAAAATGTATTAATATTATCAAAACCTCTAATATTAAATCATCAAGATTTTTACATTCAAGACTATATTAGTCACACAATTTGTCACACTATTTTGCTTGTAAATTTATTTTTTTTATTTATTTATTTTTTTTTTGGTATTAAGGAGACCTTTTTAGTCTGGTGAACTTTTTATTAGAGTATAGACAAAGTTTTATATGTAATTACAATGATGGTACATCAAGCCACACATGCACCTTTTGAGGCCTATTTAAGTAGTCCGCCCGAAGGTTCTACACTATCTGCCGTACCTGCATCCCAACTAGGGGGGTACCCATTTAAACCATCTGGTTCTAACTACCTCCATCAGCCCTCTAACCCAATGGGTTTCCTC